TGCCGGGGGTCGATGCTCGTGGTCTCGCGTGATGCCCCGTAGCCGACGCGCAGACGCTCGTGCGCTGGGACGAGTGCCTAGGCCGTGCGGCTGTGACTCGTAAATCTGCTGATGCCATCGTTTGCCTGTCTCTGTTAGCTGCCGGCCTACTTTTGGCCAGCGAAACCTCCGTTCCTGCACGAGCTCGCGGTGGAAGGGGTGGAGCGCTCGTGTGCGCTCCTCCCGAACTTGTACCACGTCGACGCGGTGGTGGAACCGAGGTCCCGGTGGGCGGCGCAATCCCGGGGCGCCGCCTTCCCCAGTCACTGTAACGATCCGTGTGTGAATCCTGCCCACGCTGGCCAGTCCTCGCGAGTACCATCTGCTGGAATGGCGACCTCACGAACCGCAAGATGCCAGCGAGAACCCCTCGTTGGTTCTCCCTCGCCTCACCGCCCGCCGGCCGATGAGAAGCATTTCGGCGACCCAAAGCAATTCCGTGTCGAGGCCGCTGCGGCGAAATACGCGTGCTCGGAGAAAAGGACACTCGAGGCCGCTGCTGAGGTCGGTCCGGAACACCCCCATCGAGCGACGCTGACCTCCTCCTCCTCCGGAGGATACCTGACAGCTCGGCTGTACCCTCAGCGCGTCGAGGTGAAGGCGAGAGATGTCGGGGTCGCGACCGGGGCCGCGAGGACGCGGACCCGGAGGACCCTGAGCGTCGTCGGCTTGATCCTGTCATGCGCGGCGGGGATGCGCTCGACATGTGTGGTCCGCTGGCCAACTGTCGCGTAGAAGCCCCTGTGTCTTCCCCTGCTGTGCCCCTGCCGACGTTTCCGGCCCTATCGGCCGTCTCTAATGCCGACTCCTGTTGCAACCCCCCCACCCGGCAAAGTGCTCGACATCCGTCGTCCTCTCGCGTGGCAAGCTGCCACGCTGGAACAGTTCGATGCAGGCCCCGCCCTGCCGACTGAGAGCCCTGAGGCAAAGACCTCTCGGTGGCGCAGCTTCCGTTGTTTGCACGTCCGGCAAGCTGCCACGCCGGGACAGTCCGATGCAGGCCCCTCCCCGCCGATTGAGAGCTTGGAGGTAAAGACCTCTCGGCGGGTGCCATAACCAAGCCCCGCAAACAGGAGGGGCTGTTCGCCCCCGCCTCGCCACCTCGCCGCCCGCTGCCGCTCCTCACGCTTCCGCTTGACGCGGATACGGCGTGCCGCTGCAGCCCGCCGAACTGGCTATTGGTACTGGTACCGCCTAGTCCCCGTGCGACCAGCCAAGCCGGCATAGTCATTGCGATGCCGCGTCCCTGCGACCGAGAGCCCGGCAAACGTCGTGGGGCCCCAACCGATGGAGCGTGGGCGCGCGCGTCCTGCCCCGACGACGTGCGGTTGTTCCTTTCCTCTGTACGGGGTGTCCCTCTGGTGGTGTCCCACGTTCCTCTCTGTCCCGACTCGCTCGCTGTGTTCACGGCGATGCGAACGGAGCGGCGCCGTTGCTGACGCGGGGAAGCGCCGGTATCGTCATCCGGTGATCGACCGGGTGGCCGTCGGTGTTGACGACGTCCTCGGCCGTCCATGTCCGGCGACGAAACGAAAACCGGACCATAAATAACACAAACCTGGCTCCCGTTTGGTGCAAGCGTCGTCCGACGAGCACGCGTGCCTCTCGAGCTCCGACGTCAGCCGACCACCTCGACGAACCTCGTTGCTCGTTCCGCTGCTGCCACGACACTCTCGCGATGACCCCTATCCCCCGCGAGCGCTGCTACTGCTGCTGTAGCCGCGCAAATGAACGAGAACTCGTAGTCTACCTTGCTGTTGAGGCGGCTGGAGCGAATGCGACGAGCTGACCGAAGATCTGACGAGTTGCTCCACTCTCCCGGATACCACGAATCCCGCCTCACCAAATGAGACCGTATCCACGCCACGAGGCTGCTGCTGCTGCGACCCCCACCACTGCTGCTGCTGCTACTGCTGCTGCTGCCGATCCTTTCCTCCACACACCCACACAAACACAAACACAAACACAAACACAAACCTGGCCCCCGTTTGGTGCAAGCGTCGTCCGACGAGCACGCGTGCCTCTCGAGCTCCGACGTCAGCCGAATACCTCGACGAACCTCGTTGCTCGTTCCGCTGCTGCCACGACACTCTCGCGATGACCCCTATCCCCCGCGAGCGCTGCTACTGCTGCTGTAGCCGCGCAAATGAGCGAGAACTCGTAGTCTACCTTGGTACTATTGTTCAGAGTGCCTGAATAGTGCCAAATCGGCACTATTCAGGGAAATCCCTCAATAGGGCCAGACCGGCACGATGAGGACAGCTTGGTGATTGTAGAGTGCAGCGCTTACGCTTTGCGGGGCCAACAGAGTACCGCATGTAAGGTAAATGGTGAGATCATGGCATGCGCGGGAAGACTGTGCCACGATAGGAATGGTTCCTACCCTGTCGAACACACAGATTTTGCTGTAGAAAGTAAACTGGGCGGGACCGACACATAGCCTGAACTGTCGCCTAAACCTTCACATGAATATTGCAAAGGATATTCATTCGAAGTGTACCTCACAGGTCATGAAAAAAAGAAACACAGCACAGAGGCCGAAGGCAATACAAAGGACATACATAAAGGAGTATAGCATACAGCAGGGAGGGAAGCAGGGCGCAACAACATCAGCCGGGTACATAGTTCGCCATAAGTGCTGCCTCGGCCGCCCTACTCGCTTCTACAGCAGGGCCCGGTCGCCGTTTCTTCCCCCCCACCGCCGCTTCCCCGGCTCTCTTTCTCTTCGGTCCTGAAATGGCCGTACCCTCTGTTTCTGCTTCCCTTGCGCGCTAGCGCTTCGCCGACGCTTCCGCCTCCTGCCTGTACCATTTTCTCATGAACCATGCCGCCCCGTCCTCGACCTTGTTGTACCACACCTACCTCCGGGTCCTTGGCGCTCTCATTGGTGTGGGAGTACAAGCCATATCGCAGACTGGTGTAGAGTCCGTGTGGCTGTCAGAGCCTGAGCTTCTCCGTACGTTCACACGCTTGCAATTGGATGAGTTCATTGCACTATGGCATCTGTACTATCCTGAAGTGGCGTCTTAACTTACCCCGCCCTCCAGACGGCGTGCACCGTTGTCCGCCCGTGTGAAGCCCTGCGAATCTACCCAATAGGTTTCACTTTCCAGAAAGACATTGGTGGAGGGCTGAAGCTCCAAGGACAAGTGTTTGGTTACCGAGACCGATACTGGCGGGTGCGTTACAGTATCCAGAACTGGGAGGAGATGACGCGTCAGGAGCTAGAACGTTGTCTGTACTAACAATCGTCTTCACCGCACCAGCTGTTGCTATGTACCGGTCGCCCCGGTGGTCTAGTAGGTAACCTCGCAGCCTGCTAAGGGCCAGGTCATGGGTTCGAGTCCCGGCAGAGTTAGTTTTTTTCTCACTAAATACATCCTGGTCCAGGATGAAAGCGACGCGCTGCAAAAAAAGCTCGTTGTTAGTAAACCGTAATCGACTTCTTAAATCGCGAGGGAAGGGATTGCTATACCGATAAAAATACCTCAGGCAGGAACCGCAGGAGGGGATCCAGCCCCCCCCTCCTGTGTCACCCCAGTTGGGTAGTCTAGCTAGTAGAAGTGGAGGATAGGGGCCAGGCGGGCAGACGACAGAGTCCAATGATGGGAGAAAAGAAATACTACTATATATATATATCGTGCATGTTGGGGTGGGGGGGCATTTGTTTGTAAATCGTGCGGTTTTTTGGGTCGTTGATGTCATGTTGGGGGGAAGCAGTCGCCCTTTGTGTTGATTGGGATGTTTAGACTGTGGGTCCCTGGAAAATGCGGTGCTATCGGAGGATGAGGCTTCTTGAGGTTCAGTCGTGGTGATGGGATTCACTTTCGGAGCCTATGTCTTTGCTCCTACTTTGTAGGCGGTACCGAGTCGATGGTTGATTGGTGTGTCCATTGTGTGTATGTGTGCATGCGTGGACTTGGTAGGTCCTGTAGGACTTGGTCGCAATCACTGTTATGTTTATGATGACGCTTGTAGTCAGTGGCGGTATGTCGGTCTATGCCACTGGCATGGAGATCGCTCTCCATGCCAACGACTACACGAGAGGGTGTTGTCGAACGTTTGTCCCTCAGAGAAAAGAGAGAGACGAGATGGCGGCGCGAAGTATCGGGTGGATTTGTTCTCGTTCGAGGCATATCGGTTGATGGAGAACCCCATGGTTCTACCATTCCTCTGGTTAAAATGACAGGATGAGGCGTGAGTATATTATGGGTTGATAATATACTAGGGGGGATGTTACGGTTCGGGATATTCATGGTTTCGCAAGTACACCCCTACAGAGGATTAGGCTGCATTCTGCGGAGTCTCTGTGAGAGTTGTTCGGGGACGCCCTCCCCTCTCACAACCAAGCTACCATCCTGAGCTTCCACTAAAAGAATATGACCATAACATCCATAAGGAGGCCTTTGCTCCGACACTACACCCGCCACTACAGCGGGTACGAGTGTCTTCATTATTCATCTCACCCGGTACAGTCGTTCGATTGCACACAGCGAGGTTAGGGTGTGTACATCGCTGCATGAGAGTGCTAGAATACCTCTCAGGAGCAGTAATTCCCTTTCTCGCGCAATAAGCAGTGCCATGAACGGGGGCTATATGATACTTGCTGATTCCACACCTTAGACCTCCACCGATACGTGCTAACGACTCGGTAGACTACACCGCCTCTGGCCCCGCCGACGACCCCCGTGTCGCCAAGTTTAGTTTCGATTTGTTATTTTGGTGGTTCATCATCGCGTCCCTCGGCGCCTATGGCTGATGGACTGGATTCCGCGTTGTGGACGCCAATGTACTGCAACTTCGGCCCTTTGTAGCCTTCCTGCAGCCTCCGCCTCTCCGGAGTCTCCACCGACCTTGATTTCGACCCCTCACGAAGATTCCCCTCCGGACCTCCCCGCTCTACCTCCCGCACGACTGAGTTGTGCGCCTCCGGGGCAAGCTGAGTACCACGCCTCCGGCGGAAGCCCCCTCGTTTGTAGAGAGGGCCTTGCATTCTTCGGTGAACTCGATTTTCGGCCGTCTGTCAAGCGTTTATCCCACCCCGCTTGGGCCCGCGAGCAACGTAGCGAACCTCTGTGTGATGCAACCATTCGTGCCATCCTTCAAGGCTGGCCTTCGCTCTTTCCTTCCTATTTCTTGGAACATGTTCCATCCGTTCGTCGACCTCCGCTTCTGGAGATCCGTAACCGGTCTAACAAAGGACGGTTGCATGTTGATCATGATGGCTTTTGTTCGCAAGCCGACCACGCTTCTGTCTTCCACATCCAGGTGTCCTGGTCAACGTGTAGCTCGACTCCTCAATTTTAAATCCGTCAGGATTTATGTTCCGATGCCCATGCGTCCGTAGATCATACAGGTTTGCCATGCTGAAGCGTCCTGCCACCTAGGTGCAACTCGCACGCTTAGCACCCTGGAATATGTCTACTGGTGGGTTATGAATGTTTGCACAAAATGGTGGGTACGACGTCCTTCGCGAAAACAAACTTACAGTAGTCTCGCCAGGCTTCTCGCTGGCCTGCTTTGTGCCTTCCGTTGCCATCTGACCACCGTGTGTCCCGCGAGCGCCGACTACTTTGGCCCTCTCTCAGTTACGCATTTCGTCAAAAAGCTACATTCACGCGGACCGTTTCATCGCCGTGCAGATATAGACGCGGTTATGGCCACAGAATGTACCGCCGAAGGCACAGATGACACGCTCATCAATCGGTTCATCTCTTTGTGGGGTTGCCCGTTGAGTCCTTTGTCCGGCAACGGCTCCCAGTTGGTTCGGAACTTTCATTAGCTATGACTATCTGTTCGAAACTGTCGCCCGTCTTGCTTTCCGCGAAGTGACTACCAGCTCTTACCACCCAAATGGTAATGGTCGTGTGGAGTGTCAATCAGACTATGCCACAAGTGCTCGCTATGGTCATTAGCGGGCGGCAAGACGACTGAAAATCATCTGCCGCACGTTGAGTCTGCCTGCAACAATTCGGCCAATGCCGCCACTGGTTTAGCGCCAAACGAGATGCACATGAACCGCCTACCGTGCATGCCGAAGACGATCTTGAGCATCCTAATGCACGTGGTCACCACAGCTTGCATCGTGATGAAATTGAGTATTACGATCTCGCTGCTGATCGCCAACGTCGTTCCTAGGATTTGGTGGGTGAGCAGCACAACTTGCCCATTTCACGGATCGAGCGGCGAAATTGCGCTCTTTCGAATGCTTTACGCCAGCTCCTTCTTATATCGTTGGTGAACGTACAACTCCGAATCCACCGAAACGTTTTTCGTCGGTCGTTTGTTCAAGCCTTGGGGCCAACCCACATGACACCGATGACGTGCCGCGACTTCTGCGAACAAAAGAAATGCTGGTAGGTCAGGAGCTGGAACGAACGACGGCGTCCAGTGTGGAACCTACATGCCTTCGAGAAGCAAACCAGAGCATGCAATGCGTCGAATGCGTCGAAAGTCATTGGGGATATTTGAAGCAAGCCCGTGGGGGCGGCTGAGCCATATCTCACGCATTTTCTCCGGATCTATGCGTACTCCTAACGGAATTTTTTTCACACCCCACGCGAAAATACACAGCGAAGAAACCCAGACCTTTCAACCAGATTGAAGGCTTGTTTTCGCTTGGCGTGAACAACCCCAACATGTTTGTGGTTTCGTGTGCGCTGGTGCGCAGACGTTCCAGTAGAACAGCGAGTCAAACATCAACCAGTTTGGCCTTTGTTGCTGTCAAGGATACGGATGTTGGTGCTGTTGGATTCTTTGGTATTGTCGTGTCAAGGTTAAGGTTGCCTTGTAGGCGTGTAGCCCATTGCTCATTGTGTCCACAGAGCGCTCTCGCAAGCTGGCCCACGTTTGACTCCGAAAAACGCAAAACGTGTTAGGCTACGTTTGGAGCTACACGAAGAAAATCCCCAGAGCGGTTTTCGCATCACTCGTGTCATCGGATAGCAGGTCAGCGCGAGGAAGGCCATTTTTTCCTGGTGTTCCGGCGTAATAGAGTTGACAGAGCATATATTTCACTATTTTATCTTGTCCCACTGTCCGGGACCGTCCCCCCCGCCCTTGGCTCGGCATGGCCCTCGTTTACCTCGACTACTTACAACCTAAGTCCAAGGTTCTCGCTTCGACTCCTGGCGATGAACCGAACACCAGCACCCATACAGTATGTCCTTGCCGCAACCATTTGACTGTGCTAGCCGGCAGTTCAGGGCGCGCCCTAAACACCCCACGTGTAGCAAAGAAATTCATGCTAGCAGAGCGTAAACCGGTTCTCATCCTGGTCGAGGCGGAACGCTGGCGCAAGAGAGGAGCGCGTCGAAGTCGATCTCGGGCTCGTAGTGGTCGATGACGTTTCGTGTCCTCAGGTCGTCTTTGACGTTCATCTTGGACGTGAACTTCTCCAACTTGTGCATCACCTCCGAGGTCGACATGGCGACGCTCAGCACCGGAATAGCGGCGCGGCCGATGTACTCGCTCACAAAGGAATGCGGAACGTGCCCCGGCGGTGTTCCTGCGGGTGCGTACGTAGTTGGGCACGAGCGGTGGCGGGAACGCCGAGTCAACGTGGTCCGTGAGACTGTTCGGGTGGCGAACCAACAGCAGTAGCATATCGACGTGTACCGTGGTTTACGATGGCCAGCGCCTGCGCTCTGAACATCCGGGTGGGATTCCCTTTCGTGGTAGACGCCACCCTCAGATCATGCCCGGGAAAAGGAAAAAAACAATCCAAGTAACTCCGGAGGCAACTCACTCCCTGTAGCGCCAAAATCAAGTAAACTTTGCAACTTATGGGATACGCGTGGTGAAAACAATCAGTCAGGGTACGAGCCGAACACATATCCCCCGGGGCACCTGTCCCGCCAGGGTTGCTATCGCCCTGGCGATGGTGTCTCGTGCTGTAATTGTTCCTCAATGACAACAGGCCTGTTCGTCGACGGACAGTTTCAAAGCACCCTCCCGTGTTGCTAGTACGATTGCCGTTTCGGAAAAAGCGGACAGCTGCGCGGTTGCACCGAGGCACACGCTGACGCACCTGTCAAGATTAGACCTGCGTCGAAGGGCTTCGCGTTGTTCTTTTCGTCCAGGGTGTCTTGAGAGTGAGACAACAACCCTTTTCACGATGCCGCGAGTAGAGACACCAGAGTCAAGCGCGCAAGATAGAAAACGACGAGGCACAGAGGGGCACCGGATTGAAGCGTTGCATCAAGAAGAAGGTTTACCGTTACCCAAGAATAACGACATGGTGGTTCCCCGTCAAGAGCGACTGGGCCCGGAAACGAAACATGAAGCGAAACTCACCGAGAATAATGTCACTTCTGGTCGCATGCGTCACGAAGCACGTGCGCTTGGCGCTGATACCCCCACCTCCGAGCTTCTTCAACAACTGTCGAAGGCTCGTTGTGACGAGTTCAAAGCGTGAGTACCTGGAAGTTGGGCAAAGAAAGGGGGTGAAGCCATCTCCAGGCTTGGTCCGCCGGGCTCATGTGTGCCGGCGACGAGCTCGAGAAAGCGGGGCGGGGTTGGGTTCCGATATTGGTAGGCACGCTCGGTCAATGAGACAACAGAAATCATCGGCGCCTCGGCCAATCATAGCTGCTGGAACATGTATGCAGTGCTGTTCCAAACTACCATCCAGACCAACCTTCGGAGGAGATGTTCCCTCCCGGAGAGAGCCGTCGTGCCGAACATTTGCTCCAGGTCCAGTATCGACGGCTGATCTAACGACTCCGCCCACGGTACTACCCCCAGCACTGGCGCGTCTGGCAGACGGGAAAGTCGACTCTTCAGGGACATGACGCGATGTACCACGGATGTGGTACACGGAGACATTTACTGCACATACATGTGGGGATACATGGGCACGTAGCCTCTGCAACCTTACATATCCCCTGCCGGCCGCACGAAACCTGCGGCTAGCATGTCGACTTTACCTCGTGTCGGCGGGTAGCGTATTCTGAGCCGGTATGGCAACAAAGGAGAGCTCACCGAGCGTAGGTACGGAGGATGTGTATGCGGTCCGACTGGGTGAACACTGGGCCTGCGCAGGAAATACGAACGACCGCGTGTGGACAATTCACGCGGCTTGTGGTGCAGCGTGTATGCCTTCACCACACTGCGAACCTCCTTCTCCTTATCATCCCGTTGCCGTCAAGGTGCTACTGGACGCACTTCTCACCCCACAAGTTGGTGCGCAGCGCCTTCCCGATGTACTCTCTGACCATGTCTTCCTTGCCGCGTTTTACCTGAACCGAACGGTTCGCCAAAGTACGAGGTCAACCCCGATGGCTCACATGGTTCGCCAAATGATGCAGCGATCGACGACCAGTGCTGTAACACGAACAGAAAGCTTGCGCAAACACGAAGCGGGCCTTGGCTGGCGTTTCAAACATCGTGGGGTCTGTGGATGCTCCCTCAAGATGCCTTTCCCCTGTCCAGAGGTTTCGCCGCATTTTCCGTGAAACGTTGTATTCCGGCGATATCCTTCAGATATCGAGGAGTATCCCCGCCCCGTCTCGAGAGGACAAAAGTACGTTCTGGCCGCTCGGACCAACACAAACCTTATTGAGGAGGACGGCGCGAACTCTAACACCCCCAGCGGTGCACAGGGTCTTGTTCAGTGCCATGACGTCGTACGTGGAACCCAAGCCTCCGTTTCCGACGAGCAAGACGTCGAGCCCGAGCAAACCCGCAACATTCGCGTTGTTCATCCCCACAACGCTCCCGACGCCTAACACAGGGTCGCAGTTGGTGCCACGTTCGACTTTTACACAAGCGTCTCGCGAGTTGTTGCTCTGCAGCAACAACATCCACGAGGTCAACCGCGTTGACGGACCGCGAACAAACAGGATTTGGGGAAAGACGAGGCGAGAAGAAACCCGGAGCGCGACAACAGCGGTAGGGCTGCTTTCGAGACTCACCGGTGTGACCGGTTCCCTCGACAACGACGAAGTCGTTGCTCCGGATGAGCTCCTCGAACCCGTCCTGGATGACTCTCTTTTGTTCCCGGACGTCCATCTGCGGTCGCACCTTAAGGACATTAGAACGGAATCTGAAGGTTCCACCTTACGGAATGCACGCAAGGGTATTCCCCAACTTTTTCAGAGCGCAATCTGTTCTAGCGTGGTTTCCACGCCCGGAAGCAAGTTCCCATCCCTGCACGAGCGGTACTTTCCCGTACCTTGCCGTCCAAGAAGTCTTTCGTGTAGCCCTTGTACAGGACGAGAGGCGACATGGCGTTGTACGGGGCAGAAAGGCCGAAGTACTCTCTTACGACGGCCACGTCCTTGTCAACCTGCGTTCAAACATGTGTGGGAACGAATTGGTGCGGAAAAAGCGCCTAGTATTTCTTACTGCTTTGTGCTTGAGCAATCGTTGCCAAGACAAGGGGTGACTGCTACCCCTCAGATTACGCTGAAGACGTTGAGAACGGTTGAAATCTTACCCAACCTGGCGAAACGTTCCTCTCAAACCCGTCCCTCCATCCGTCGTCTATCTTCGAGCAGCGAACGGCCCGCCGATAGAGGTCATAAGTTACATTGGTTTCCGTTCACCCTGTGCGGTATCACCCGTACGATCACCGCGTACTTCTACGGGTCTGCAGTTCGAACGAACCACCGATCAATTATATTGTGGTGGTTCTTCACCCATGATGTACTTCGACGGGGGTTCCGATCAAGTATCTCCTTGGCTGTAGGGTTTTAGCTCGCCTTGAGGTCTCCTCCGTCCTTCCCTGTCACCAGCACGTGCTTCTGGCCGACAGGCTTCATGTACGACACGCGTGTAGGCCCAAATCTGTTTTCGTGACGAAGGCAGTGCAAGCGCGAACCGGCAACATGGACGACAACGCCGTTCCTCGGCACGCGAGAATAGTCCATCTTCATGCATACGTGATGATTGCCTCCCGGCGTCGCGTGTCGTGTGACACGATCGGCACCGGAGCCACTGGTTTTTCTTTTGCCGATCCAACCGCAGCTTGCGGTAAAGGCTGGTTTCAACTCTAGGCGCGGTCGTTTGGCACAAACAGCGTACTACGAAGGTCTTGTAGCTAGACGGCGCGGCAACAACGTGGCGAGTACGAAAATAAAAGATGGCCACCATGCAGCAGTCAAATATGACCACAGGTAGGCCAACGAACCTGTATTTCGAATACGGGATGAAAACATTTGCGGCTGCTGTGTGAAGCATTGACAACAGCATCGCGATTTTCCCTGATCATGATACCGAGCCCAAGGCTCACCTGCGCACTAGACCTGCAATGAGCGCCATGGATACAGACGTCTTGCCCGTGTGCTCCTGGGTTGCGGCGACGAAGATTGCTTTGCCTCGTTCTGTCACAAGCACAAGACGCAGCCAGCGCCGTAAGCACAACGACCAAGGCGTGACAAAAGGATCGCGCAAGAAGAGAGTGAGGGAACCTCTGCCTTTCGTGCCTTTGAGGGCGTGACGGCTGTCAGTCCACCTAGCTACCTCCAAGCCACGGCGGTTGTCGGGCCTGCTGTGAACGCCGCCGAGCAGCATGAGCTCCGTGTGCCCCCTGAGCGATAGACTACAACACGGTATTGCTGCCGTCCAGCACTTTTGGGGCAGAAGCATAGCATGATAAGCGGGCTTCTGTATCTTTGATGATTTTGGGCCCCTAACGCTAGCTACAGCCCACCCACGTTGTGGCTGAGATTCGCTATGTCTCACGGGCAACGATGCGGGCAACGATGAATCTGAAATCTTCATGTGCATTGCATGCATACACGGGTGGCCAGAGGGCAGGTTGTGGGTGGGTTGTGAGCATCCACAAGGTAGGGGCAGGTTGTAGGGGGGGGTTGGGAGGAGGCCACAACCTTGGCAAAACGGCTTGGTTGTACAAGGACGGATGCGGAAGGTTAGGAGGCAGCCACAACGTCAGGCCACACCTTTTGGTTGTGCAAGCACAAATCACACAGGTTGGTGGGCATCCACAACCTTAGACCATACCTCTTAGTTGCGCAAGCACCGATGAAACAGGTTGGGGGGCAGCCACAACCTTTGGCCAGACCTCCCGGTTGTGAAAGCACCGATGATACAGGTTGGGAGGCGGACACAACCGAAGGCCAGACCTCCTGGCTGTAAGATTGTGTCGGTTCGACGGTCCGGGATAACTGGACTTGTGGTCTAATACTTGAAATTATTTTTTTTTCCAGCTGGACAAAACCGCAACAAATTCGTCTCCAACACAGGCATGTAGATATACGAGCCCAGGATACGTTGGCACAATGCATGCTAAATGAACGCATACACTACTCAATTTAGGATTTTGTGTGGGGTGTGTACAAGTACGGGGATTCACGAGTGCTTTGTGTGTACCAGCTACAGGGTACAACAAAGCTCTCCATCTCAGATCCCGTTATGAATCCCGCCAGACAGATGGGAAGATGGGGTGGGGGGTATCCGAACTAGCGAGCCCCCTGCAGATATATGCATGGCTTTGTTTGGCCCTGCATCGCCCTCGTGTGACGAGCTAGCTAGCCTTGACACAGGCGACTACAGGCCGCAGCATGCCAAGACGAATAGCGACCAGGCTGGTGTCATTCCTTTCGTAACCAAGGCAAGCAGCCAAACCATATGTAGATGCTCGGACTCGGGGCACAGCAACCGCCGCGAGCTAAGCCCGCCGCACGACACGCTGCTGTAGAGCGGCAAGACGAGCTTCTACACGGCGCGCGTGGAGAAGAGAGAGCGACATTCCGGCAGAGTTGTTGCTTAGGTAAGCGATTCCCCTCTGTTTATATCTGGATGGTAGCGAAAGAAGGATAAATTGAGGGGACATTGTGTGTTGTGTAGTTGTGTACCCCTATGCATATGTCCCCGTTGGGAAAGGCTCGAACACTCCACGTGCTGTAGATGCATGTACGCTCAGACACCAGCAGTTGGTCCTGCACACTCAACGGCTCTCGGCCTACTGCGTGCTCTTCCACACCATGTTCAGAGCGGGGATTCTCCCGGAGGCGTCAATAGGCGCCCAGACTCAAAACAGAGCTCTTTGGAGGGCGGGTAGGCACTTCGTTAGTTTCAACGGTTTTTGTTTTGTAAGGGGGGTGCTCGTTATTCTTTCAACAGTAACAACGTTCGGTAACAACCCCGCATGTCTGCTCTATCTGACCTGTCCACACCCATGCGTACCATCGACCGCGTCGACCGTCCACATGCTTCAACCAACGCCCAGCACTCACCACACCCAACTGTATTGGATGGGTTGCTCGATTGGCACAGGTCGTTCACACGCATGCAACCTATATCGTGTTGAAAGCAAGAATCAACGGAAACCGTAGGTTGCACAAGATACCACATCCCCTTGACCAAGTCTCAACCCATATTGTTCCACGACGAAGACAATTCCGAAGATCAAACGATACATTTTCGAAAAGCTCTCCACGAGACAGTTCCAATGCCGCCATGTCCGGCCTCGCCACTCCGTCTGTTGTGGAATAATCAGGCTTCGGAACTCGGTCCAGGGGGCGTGTTATCTTACTGCTGTGAGATCAGTGGATTCGATTCTCCTCTGCGCCATTTTTTTTCTTCCCACCACCCTTTCTTGTTCTTTCTTTTTCCTCTAGAAATTCGATGCACGCCTTTTATAACATGTTTGGCCGTAAAAAAAAATAAACCGAGTACACCCATGAGAAACAAGGCATGTCAGAGACCGGAAAGTTTTTTCTTTCGATGTCAAGACAACCACAACACGGTCGCAGCGGGTCCCCCGATACCGCGCCACTGATGCGACATGAAGAGGGCATCAGTAGAATGCATAGCTGAGCGGAGGGATATGTATGTGCGTCTGCATATATTGCGTCTCACCCACTCCCCGCCCGCCCTCCCCCTTGTATCGTACCGTGTAGGCGGATACCGCCATGAGTGGGCTTGGTACCGTCATATTCTCGAAGGTTCTTGGGCCGGCCAACCACGGCATTCCCGCGTCAGAGGACGAGGCCATGCAGAGCGTGACCTTCGATCAGGTCCACCGATGCAAGCGCACCACCCCATAGCTCAGGTACGGTCGGGGTAAGTGAACTCTCCGCGGAAAATGCGAGGTTTTTTTCAGAAATAGTGCCCAGTGATTTGAAAAACAAAAATGATAGAAAGTTCATGGCGCGACCCCGACACCTGTCCCCGATAACCGATGAAGGTCTACTACCACACCTGCTGTCAGAGTCGTGCATAACATCGTCGATCTTTCCGGCATAGCTCCAGGCACGTTTTGAATGAATTCGCCCCTATTTGAGTGTGAACGGAAGGAACGATGGAATACCTTCTTTCGGGAGCTGCTCATTCGTTCATTTACTAGACTCAACCAAAGCGTATGCTACAATAGAGGGAAGGAACGGGGGGACGTGCAGGCAACTATTCCTCGCGATGCATTGCTTGTGGAAGGAGTAGAGAATTTTGACGCACGCGCACCGGCACTGCTGTTGGTTTGAGGGTCTCGCATGTTGTAGCGTTAGACTGAAAACGTAGTGCGAGACAGAAGGGCGGCGCAAGGTGCGATTAGCCAACATCTCATGATGCCAAGCAACAGCGCCGGGGACGAAGAGTACTTGTCCTTGAAGGTTAACACCGCTTCCCTGTGGTAATGACGCTTGAATTTTTTAATCCCCATGTACGACTTTACAGCAAGGATAGCTGCTGCTGGTGTCCTGTTCACCTCCTGCTTGCTGTTTCCGGCGCAAATGCCAGGCCATCTACTGCCACCCTTACTCTGGTGCATCCATCTAGCCAGCCCCTTGGCCGTTATGCACCATTCCCCCCCCCAGACGTTGTAAAACAAGCCAATTCACTTCGTGAACTCGGCAGCCAGGTTACCGGGGTTGTTTCACCTCTGTTTGCTTTTTGGCGGTAACCATAATGGTGGTCGAGTAGACCATCTTGTGCGGGGTGGAGAACCCTCACTCCGCGCAAGGGGCATGATCGCACCACGTTGTGTTAAAATGGTCAAGCACCCTCGAGGCAGTTACACAGTGCTTACAACTGTCTCTGGAAGTGAAAGCACCAGAAANTGGTGGTCGAGTAGACCATCTTGTGCGGGGTGGAGAACCCTCACTCCGCGCAAGGGGCATGATCGCACCACGTTGTGTTAAAATGGCCAAGCACCCTCGAGGCAGTTGCACAGCAGTGCCAACAACTGCCTCTGGAAGTGAAGTACCAGAAAATAAAGTAAGTCATACGCAGCTGTCATCCGTACGCAAGGATTTGAGCACAAGATGCCGAACACCCTCAGCAGGATGCAGCGCACCCTTCATGCGACCCGCCGAATACCTCACGGTGCTTCGCGCTTGGTGATGTGAGAGCCTGGTCCGGTGAGAACCCGGCGTGCTCCGTCCCGGCTTTGTAGGGATGCGAGGTCAATGGTCTAACGACTACGGCATGCACGACTATGAGTACACCCCCCGCCCCCCCTCACGGTATGATTGGTATCGTTCGAAGGTGCTCGAGCAGTACGTCCTCACGGATATCAAGACGAAGATGGGCACTCCAGGCTACACTTCGGCAACATGAGCGACCCCGACCACGACGGTGTTGCCGTACCTTCCCCGTCTGCGAGGCTTTTTCCGAAAAGCCGTTTGCTGCGAAGGGCGGCGGCGGTAAAAACACTTGAAGGCCATCAGCGACATGTACGTTGCTGTTGTTTCGATATGTGAACCAGGCTCTGTGGCGCTGAGGGTTTTTGTTGTCTTTAGCGTATTCTTCTAACCCTGTCTCCCCTGGTGTACTATCGGCAATTTGTCAGGCCGACAAGCTCTCATTGGACGTTCAAGCGCTGGTGAACGTCCAACACTCTCGTTTGTTTTGTTCCTCGCGCGTTTCCAGCCTTATTAATCATTTCCCCATATTTTCAGTGTGCCCTGGCGTTGCTCCTGGGCAGTCGACGCGCTGGTGGTTTGTCGCAAGCTATTTGTGCATGTCCCCGTGACGTCAAACCAACTGACATTCACATGGAACGCTCTTTGTTCTTTGTTTCGTGTCTCAGGTTCCAGGAGAACTTCATGCGGTTCGGCTTGGAATACGTTGGGCCGATCCTCTCCACCGAGAGTGCTGATCGTCGGGACGACGCCGAGCGCTTCCTCAAGCCGTGCTTGTTCGCGGACGAGGGGGCAGGAGGTGGAGGAGGTGACCCAGGGGCGGATGGGGGTGAAGGGTAAACTTAAGATGGAGACGGGGATGTTCTTCGCCTCCGAGCGAGAAAAGCGATGGTCCTGATGACCACGCTGGCTGCAAAGCCTTGGCGGACACCTAAACCGTGTTGACAAGGTGTGTCATTAGTCTTGTCCTTTCTAATAACCGTGCTGCCTCTCTTTCTGCCTCTTTCTCTCTGCCTGCGATGATGTTGGACGCTTGCGTGTTTCTTGTCGTGCATACGTTATGCCTGCGCCTCCCAATAATGTACACCTTTCCTCATCCCAGCGTGTCCGTTAGCAACCCCTGATGTTTGAATGTACCTCGCCTCCCTTCAATTTTGTTATGCGGGTGTGTGTAGCTTATCCTCGTCTCTGACGTATTCTACGACCTGCGGTAATGCTGTCNTAGTCTTGTCCTTTCTAATAACCGTGCTGCCTCTCTTTCTGCCTCTTTCTCTCTGCCTGCGATGATGTTGGACGCTTGCGTGTTTCTTGTCGTGCATACGTTATGCCTGCGCCTCCCAATAATGTACACCTTTCCTCATCCCAGCGTGTCCGTTAGCAACCCCTGATGTTTGAATGTACCTCGCCTCCCTTCAATTTTGTTATGCGGGTGTGTGTAGCTTATCCTCGTCTCTGACGTATTCTACGACCTGCGGTAATGCTGTCGGTTTGTGCCCCCCCCACCCCCCCCTGCCCCCCCCCGGTGTTTTCCATCGGGGTTGGGTTTTCGTCGCTTGGCAACGACGTTGTAAAACAA